AAATTCAATTTTGGTTTTTTTAGGTGTCATGGCAAGGCTGGCATTTATTGGCTGCCTTCAGGTGGTGAGAAGGTGATGTTGCCTTGACCTGCTTATATCTACGCGTTAGTAGTCCCAGAGTGCTGGTGGGGAGCGCGTTGCTGGATTTTAACTCAGTAGTGATTAAAGGAATGGCAATGTGCTTTCCAGCCAGCATCGTTTCCTTAGGCTAAAATAAAACCAAAAACTGTGGATGTTGGAGATCCGGAACAAAAACAGACACTGCTGGAGAAACTCCAGAGGTCTGACCGCATCTGTGGAGAGAAAGCAACTAACGTTTGAGTCCAGTGACCCTTCTTCAGAAAGCTGTACTTCTCCTCCGTGCAGAGAAGATTTAAAAGGAGATTTGGCAGAAGTCTTCAAAATCATGGGGTTAACTGTATGAACGCAGTACAATATAAGAGTATTAGAAGCAGTCGCAAGGGTCAAAACATTTTGGAAGTAAATAGCCAAAAAAGGCTTTGTAAGTTTCTAAGTGCCTTTACAACAACTTTCTCCAGCTGTCCTGCCACCTTCAGTGATTTCAGCCAAGATGAAGGGAAATTGAACCCAATGAAGTAGGATCAAGACCTAGCAAGCACAAATTTAAGATTTTTTTGGCAAAAGAACCGATAATAAGATGTGGAAAATCCTTTACACAGTGACTGAGGAACTGGCATGTACTCCATGAGAATGCGATAAGACAGATTCAATTGTCTCTCCAAAGGGATTATCTGATTTCTTTATGGGATGTGGATGTTTCTGGCTCATCAGCATTCATCGTCCATTCCTCCTTGCCGTTGAGAAGGTGGTGACGAGCTGCCCCCTCGAACTGTTGCTATCCTTGAGGATACCCATGGTGCGGTTAGGAAATTTCAGGATTTTGACCCAGTGGCAGTGAAGGAGCAGCGATAGAGTTCCAAGTCAGGGTAGGAAGTGGCTTGGAGGGGAGCCTGCAGGTTGTGGTGTTGCCATGCATCTGCTGCTCTTCCTCTGCTAGGTGGTCAGAGGAGCCTTAGTGAGTTGCTATAGATGGTACATATTGCTGCTGATGTGCATCTGTGACGAAGGGAGTAATTGTTGAAAATGATGGATGGGGTTCTAATCAAAGCAGCCTTCCTTGTTCTGAATATTATTGAGCTATGAGAATGTTATTTAAGCTGTACTATGCAGGCAGTGGAGAGAATATGTAAATCCTCGTTTGTTTTTGTGGATGGTGGGTAGGCTTCAAGGAGCCAGAAAGTAAGTGAGTTGTGACAGAGTTGCTGGCCTCTGACCTGGTGTTTTTTGCCTGTAGTATTCATATGGTTGGTCAATGTCATATTGGTAGTGGGGTGGTAATGCCATTGAAGATCAAGGGGCAATTGTTAAATAACAATTGGATAACTATATGAAGAGAGAAATTTGCATGGGAACAAGGCGGCTGGTTTGGAAATAGGTGAATTACTCTAGCAGAGAGCTCACATGAATCCGACAGACTGGCCACTTACTGTGCTGTAACCATTCTGTGATTCCATGACTGTTATAAAAATAGCTTGCAACTTGTTTGGGAGTTTTGATGATGTGAAATGTCCCACATGCCTGGACATTCTTTGAGAGGCTTTTGGCAGGCATTTCAACTACTTTGGCTACTGCAACTTTGAGCTCAGCTCAGTCCTCTCACTTTTGCAATGGTTGAACAAATAAGAGGGATGGGTAACTTAAACCTTGGAGCTTGACTTTGTAATTTTAAAAAAAAGTTAATTCAGAATACCAGCAACTGTTAAAGTTTGGCAGTGCTTCTTTGATCTGTGTAATGGTACTTGTTTAGGGGTCTGAGTTACTTACTTTCTGTCTGTGCGACCTATAAATGTAATACCACAGTACATGAAAATGCTGCACCGTGTTGTTAATTACATTTGTTTAACTGTCATGTTTGTAGGAAATGCACCAGGGCCAAGTTAATATGAAAGGAAGCTACTGATAACCGTCCTTGATGTTCCATCTTGGAGATGTTTGTGATAAGAGTTTAGTGGTTATTCTTCCACAGTTTTGTTGGTTAGTGAGGTGTTACATGTTATAAATGAATGTTCATTTATTCTTGGCATTTATGCATGTGTTTTAAGTTCCTGGGTATCGACCACTGGTTTCATACACTCCTGTGTTTGACCTGTCTGCCTTTCAAAGCTGTAATTATTCCAGATGCCAAAATGGCCACGTGTGCAGGCAGGTCAATGACTTCACTTTGCCACGACGTAACCTCTTTGCCTGTGTGTGTGTGTGTGTGTGTGTGTGTGTGTGGACATCACGAACAGTTTAAGTCGTCTACCTGGCTGTGACCAGTTTTCCTTCTCGTAAAAAAGAGTGCCTTCTGCACCCAGTGACACAGACAACCCTGTTATGTTTGCCCAAGGTTTTCTAGCAGTCCATCCTGTGATTTCTGAGCTTTAATTCTTTCAGAGTTATTCTGTATTTCGTATTGGAATGACCACTGCTGCAGAATGTGAAATGGCTGTTCATTTCAGTGAGCTGTTGCTGAGGAATTTAATGCAGTGTGGTGCAAAGATTAAATGGGCTGGGATTCTACACACTGGAATTTAGAAGAATAAAAGGTGATCTCATTGAAGCATATGGGATTCTTAAGAGGCTAGACAGGGTAAATATTGATGTCTCCTGTTTGGGAGAGTCTAAGACCAGATGGCTGATTTAAGACTGAGATGAGAACCTGCGTGGATGGATTTAGAACATCAGAGCATCAGGAGCAGGAGTAGGTCTTCGAGCCCACTCCACCATTCCAGTAAGATCATAGCTGATCTTTTCGTGGCCTCGCCTCCACTTACCCATCCTCTCACCATAACTCTTGTTCCTTTACTGCTCAAAAAATTACCTATTTTAGCTTTTAAAAACATTCGATGAGGAAGCCTCAACTACATACCAGGCAGGGAATTCCACAGATTCACAACCTTTGGGTGAAGCAGTTCCTCCTCCACTCAGTCCTAAATCTACTCCCCCTAATCTTGAGGCTATGCCCTTTGGTTCTAATTTCACCTGCCAGTGGAAACATCCTCCCTGTTTCTATCTTATCTATTCCCTTCATAATTTTATGTATTTCTATAAGATCCCCTCGCTCATTCTAAATTCCAATGAATATAATCCCAGTCTACTCAGTCTCTCCTCATAAACCGACCTCCTCAACTCTGCATCCCCTCCAGTGTCATTACGTCCTTTCTCAAGTAAGGAGACCAAAACTTCATGCAGTACTCCAGGTGTGGCCTCACCAGCACCAGATACAGCTGCAACATTACCTGCCTGTTTTTAAACTCATCCCTCTAGCAATGAAGGAAAAAATTCCATTTGCCTCCTTAATTACCTGTTGTACCTGCAAACCAACCTTCTGTGATTCATGCTCAAGGACACCCAGGTCCTTCTGCACAGCGGCATGCTGCAATTATTTGCTGTTCAAATAAGTGTCCTTTTTACTGTTGTTCCTTACCAAAATGGATGACTTCACATTGATCAACATTGTACTCCATCTGCCAGACCTTTGTCCACTCACTTAAACTATATCTCTCTGCCAACTGAATCCTCTGCATACTTTGCTCTACCACTCATCTTAGTGTCATCCGCAAACTTTGACACACTACATGTGATCCCCAACTCCAAATCATTTTTGTAAGTTATAAACAATTGCAGTCCCAACACTTATCCCTGAAGTATACCAGCAGTCGCTGGTCGCCAAACAGAAAAGCACTCATTTATCCCCACTCTTTGCTTCCTCTTAGTTAACCAATCGTCGACTCCTGCTAATACATCGCCCATAACACCGTGCACCTTAATCTTATGCAGCGGCCTTTAGTGTAGCACCTTGTCAAATGCCTTTGTAAATCTAGATATGCTACGTCTACTGGGTCCCCGTTGTCCACCATGCTCTTAATGACTTTATAGAATTCCAGCAAATTAGTTAAACATGATCTGACCTTCTCGAACCCACTCTGCATCTGCTCAATGGGACAACTTCTCTCTGTACATCTTGCTGTTTCTTCCTTGATAGATTTAAGCATTTTCACCACTATAGAAGTTAAGCTAACCAGCCTATAATTCCCCATCTTTTGTCCACCTCCTGTTTTTAAACAGTGACGTCATGTTTGCCAATCTGTTCGAATTTCTCCAGAGTCCAATGAATTTGGAAAATTCCCACGAGCACATTTGCTATTTCTCCCGCAATCTCTTAGTACCCTCGAATGCATTCCATCAGGGCCAGGAGACTTGTCTAAATTTAGCTTCATTAGCTTGCCCAACACTACCTCTTCCGTCATAATGATCGGTTTTAGGTCCTCACCAGCCTTAGGTCTCCTTGGCACGCTGTTAGTGTCTTCCGCTATTGAGACCGACACACAATACCTGTTCAATGCCTTGGCTATTTTCTCATTTCCCATTATTAAATCCCTGTTCTCATCCTCTAAAGGACAATGTTTACCTTAGTCACACTTTTTTGTATTTATAGAAATTTTTATATTCTTAGCCAGTTTACTCTCTCAATCTATCTTTCTTTATAGCTTTTTTTGTGGCTTTCTGTTGACCTTAAGTTTTCCCAATCTTGTAGTTTCCCACTGGTCTTTGTTACTTTGTATGCCTTATCTTTCAGTTTGATAGTCTCCCTTATTTCCTTTGACACCCATGGCTGATTACCCCTTTTCCTACAGTCCTTCCTTTTCACTGGTATATACGTCTGCTGAGCACTTTGAAAAATTGCTTTGAAAGTCCTCCCTCATCCTATTGTAGTTCCCTTTGTTTAAGCATGGGACCCTGGTATTGGATTTTATCTTCTCATTTTCCATTTGTATTCTAAATTCACCATTCTGAGATAGTTCCTTCCAAGAGGATCCCTAACAATGAGATCATTGATTATTCTTGTCTCATTACACAGGACCAGATCTAGGATAGCTTGCTCCCTCGTTGGTTCCATTACGTACTGTTCAAGTAAACTATCGCAGATAAGTTCAATGAGCTCCTCTCCAAGGCTGCCTTGATTGACCTGGGTCAAACAATTGACATGTAGATTAAAATCCCCCATGATAATTGCTGAGCAATTTTAATCGCATTAGTTATTTCTTTGTTTATTGCTTGTCCCAATGTGATGTTATTATTTGGTAGCCTTTAGACTACACCTATCAGTGACATTTTCTTCTTAGAAATTCTAATTTCCACACAACCTATATCATCTCTCACCACTGCCCTGATGTCATCCTTAAATATCAGAGCTACACCACCCCCTTACCTTCCTGACTGTTGGGGAAGCTGAAAGGTATGGACATAGATCATAGATGGATAAATCATCTAGGCTAGATGGACTACTGCTGAGGAGATTGTAGAGGCGTTGGTGGTGATCTTTCAGGAATCACTGGAGTCAGGGAGAGTCCCTGAGGCCTGGACAATGGCAAATAATACACCCCTGTTTAAAAAGGGAGGGAGGAAGAAGACAAAACTATAGGCTGGTTAGCCTGACCTCAGTCAATGGTAAGATTTTAGAGCCCAATATTAATTGGGGAGTACTTCGAAGTGCATGGTAAAATAGAGCTGAATCAGCAAGGCTTCGTAAAGGGGAGGCCATGCCTGACAAATCTGTTAGAATTCTTTCAGGAGGTAATGAGCAAGTTAGACAAAGGGGAGCCAGTGGATATGATCTGTTAGGATTTCCAGAAGGCCTTTGACAAGGTGCTGCACAGGAGACTACAAAATAAGATAGGAAACCATGGTGCTTTGGGGCAAGGTTCTGGCCTGGATAGAAGATTGATGGACTGACTGGCAGAGTGGGGATAAAGAGGTATTTTCAGGACGGCAATCAGTAACTGGAGTTCTGCAGGGATCAGTGTTGGGACCACAGCTATTCATGTTATGCATTAATGATCTGGGCAAAGGAACTGAGGACATTGTTGTTAAATTTGTAAATGACACAAAGGTGGAGGCACAGGTAGTGTTGAGGAAGCAGGGAGGCTGCAGAAGGACTTAGATGGGCTAGGACAGTGGTAAAGAAATAGCAGATGGAATACTATGTGAGAAACTGTGAAGTTCTACTTTTTGGGAGGAGGAAAAAGAGGCAAAGACTTTTCTAAACTGGGAAGGCTTCAGAAATCTGAAGCACAAAGGGATTTGAGAGAATCCTCAACTAGGACTTCTAAGGTTAACATACAAGTTCAGTTGGCAGTTAGGAAGGCAAATGCAACGTGAACATTCATTTCAAGATGGCTCAAGTACAAGCGCAGAGATATACTGCATTACGCTCTGGTCAGACTGCATTTGGAATATTGTGAGCAATTTTGGGCCCCATATCTAAGAATGTGCTGGTGTTGGAGGGGGTCTGGAGGAGGTTTACAAGAATGATCCCGGGGATGAAGGGCTTGTCAAATGAGGTGTGGTTGGGGACTCCAAGTCTATGCTGGATGGAGTTTAGAAGGATGAGGGTGTGTCTGATTGAAACTTACAGAATTTTGAGAGACCTGAATTGAGTGAACGTGGCAACGATGTCTTCACTACTGGAGACTAGGATCTGAGGACACAGCCATGGAATTTTTTCGGCCAGTGAGTGGTGACTCTGTGTGGAACTCATTGCTGCAGAGGGCTGTGGAGGCCCGGTCGTTGACCAAGATATCCCCTTGGTAAGGGGATCAAGGATTACAGGGAAGTGGCAGGAGAATGGGATTGAGAAACATAATAGCCATGATCAAAGGTTGGGACAGACCTGTTGGGATGAATGGCCTAATTCTGTTCTTATATCTTATAGTCTTATAAATTTCTTCTCTGAGGGTTGAGTGTCTTACCAACTCCTTGCTAGAGAGGGCTGTGGGGGCAGAGTCCTTGTGTATATTTAAGGCTGAGATTCGGGATCAGTTGGAGAATAGTGTGTTATGGGGAAAGGGGAGAAAAATGAATGTGAGGAATTGTGAATCCTCAGTTTGAGGGGCTGAATGGCCTACTCCTGTTTCTATTTTTTATGGTCACAGGCACTTGCTGTTGCCTTGCCAAGCATGTGCTGTCACTGCACCACCTAGTGGTAGCATTCACACTAAGCAGCCCACACAACCAGGTTAAGGGCCCACCCTCCGTCCAAGGCCACATTCTCAGATTATACCTTAATGCCCCATGTCAACGAGTGTATCCATCAGTCAGATGCCTGAAAACTGTGTCGCGTTACATTCCGTGGGGAGGAAGACTTTTAAAATAAATATTAATTTTAAAACATTTTCATGGAAGGCGATGGTCTAGTGGCCTTGTCGCTGGGCGAGTAATCCAGAGGCCCATGTAATGTTCTGGGAACCTGGGTTCAAATCCCACCACAACAGATGATGGAATTTGACTTCAATAAAGTCTGGGATTAAAAGTCTAATTGTGACATGAAGCCATTGTCAATTCGTTCTTTAATGTCCTTTAGGAAAGGAAATTGCTGTCCTTATTTGGACTAGCAAGCCAATTAGTTGCATCAACTGCTGTTAGCAGGTCAGAGCCAGCAGAGGTGGTGGCCTAGATGGAGTTGTTCTGGGAGTTCTCAACATTGTCTCCATGCCTGATGAAGTCACATGGCATCAGGTCAACCATGGGCACAGAAACTTGTATGTTGAGCAGCACATAGAAAGTGCTGAGGGAGCATGGCAGCGCCACTACTGACTATCAGGCAAAGTCCTAAAGGATGCTGCTGCTAGATTGGGTCTGCGCCAGATGATGAGGAAGAACACACTGGATGTTATCCACATCAATCTGCCAGCTGCAGATACATCTGTCCAAGACCAAGTTAGGTGGATTGGCCGTGCTAAACTACCCATACTGTCCAGGGATATACAGATTAGGTGAACTAGCCATGGAAAATGCAAGGATAGTTTGGGGTTGGGGGGGTCAACTCAGGATACTCTTCAGAGGGTTGGTGTGGGCTGAATGGCCTGTTTCCATGCTGTAGGGATTCTGTGATAGTATAAGTGAGAGGGACCATCGTGCAGTCTTTGTTGAGAGAGAGTCCTGCCTTCAGATTGAGAATACCCTCCATCATGCTTTGTGGCACTAACACTGTGCACAATGGGACAGACTTGGAATTGATCTAACAACCAAAGATGGGCATCCATAAGAGATAGTAGGAACTGCTGATGCTGGAGTCTGAGATGACAAATGTGTGGAGCTGGAGGAACACAGCAGGCCAGACAGCATCAGAGGAGCAGGACAGCTGACGTTTCAGGTCTGGACCTTTCTTCAGAAATGGGGGAGGGGAAGCGGACTCTGAAATAGAGAGGGGGGAGGCGATGAAAGAAGGTGGATAGTGGAGCAGATAGGTGGAGAGAAGACGGACAGGTCAAGGAGTCGGGGATGAAGCCAGTAGAGGTGAGTGTGGGTAGGGAGTTGGGATGGGGGTGGCTCAGTGAGGAGGGTGGGTGGGTGGGAGGGAGGGAAGACGGACAGGTCAAGGAGGCAGGGACGAGATGTGGGGCTGGTCTTGGGATGAGGTTGGGGGAGGGGAGATTTTGAAGCTTGTAAGGTCAACATTGAGACCATTGGGTTGTCGGGTTCCCAGGCAGAATATGAGGTGCTGTTCCTCCAGTTTCCAGGTGGCATCGTTCTGGTCCTGGAGGAGGCCCAGGATGGATATGCCCTCCAGGGAGTGGGAGGGGGAGTTGAAGTGGTTCGCGACTGGGAGGTGTTGTCGCTTTGTCACGAACTGAGCGTAGGTGCTCCACAAAGCGATCTCCAAGCCTCTGCTTGGTTTCCCCGATGTAGAGGAGGCCATATCGGGAGCAATGGATATGATATACCACATTAGCGGATGTGCAGGTGAACACCGGTTAAAGTGGAAGGTTTTCTTGGGGCCTGGGATTGGGGTGAGGAGGGAGGTGTAGGGGCAGGTGTAGCACTTCCTGCGGTTGCAGGGAAAAGTGCCAGGGGTGGTGGGGCTAGTGGGGAGTGTGGAGTGGACAAGGGAGGCGCAGAGCAAGTGGTCCCTCCGGAAGGCAGATAAGGGTGGGGAGGGAAATATATCCTTGGTCGTGGGGTCAGATTGCAGGTGGCGGAGAATGATGCGTTGGATCCGATGATTGATGGGGTGATACATAAGGACAAGGGGAATTCTGTCCTTGTTGTTATTGCGGGGAGGGGATGTGAGGGCTGAGGTGCGGGAAACGCAAGAGATGCGGTCGAGGGCGTTTACGACCACTGGGGTGGGTGGAATTGCGGTCCTTTCATAAGGTGCCATAAGGCCATTAGCAATCAAATTGTGCTCAAACGTAATCTGCAGTCTCATTGCTTGGCATATCCCATTACCATCAAGTCATGGGATCAG